TTTATATATATATATAATAAAATACGTCGTTGTATGTATTGTATGATTAATAAAGTATTTTTATAAAACACTTCGGCCTTCTGTTCTATATTTTTATATTCTATGTAGACATGCACAAAGATATCTTTTAATGATAATCAGAGTATTTAAAAAATCTTGTCAGAATAAAATTACTTAGTTGCGTATGTCGCGTAATATATAGGAAAATTAATAAAAAGGTATAATTGAAATATGATAGTATAATATTTCAAAAACTTTTAGAACCAAATTTTTGTAATTTTTATAATTAATATGCTGTTTTTTAATTTATAGTATTCTTTTTTTCATTTTTGAGAATTTAAATATTTACGATTTGCATAACTTTTACTGCACAGAATCGTTGATAAAATGTTTTTTTACACTATCGATATATCATGAAACTCAAAAAATTATAACATTCTTTCTATAACTTGTTTCGGTTGCACTTTTATCTTTTGTTTTTTTTTTAAAGCCGACTATGACTGCGCTCCATTTAACGCTCACAATAGTCAGGACATTCGTGAAATCATTTCATTCTTGTTATTCATCAAATAAACAAGAACAATCAAATAAACGAACAATGCTTCGAAACGCAACTTACGCAACGCATATAGCCATTTCATTTTAAATGCCAAAGTGCAAGAAAGTGTAGCTAGAAGGAGCAGATCTGTTGAATCAGCTGTTACTGTTGGTTATTGTTACATGCAAATGTTATTGTTGAAATTAAATTGTGCTAAGCTGGCTAAATATTGTAGTGACCATTAAAATGCAAAGTGCATGTTCTTTTTTTATTTGCTTCCAAATATCTAGATGTATTAGTTCATCTAGCATATGTTCAATTTCTAATAGAGAAGGTAAATTTATGAAAAAATTAGTGAATGGAAGTCGTAAATCGAAAAAGTAAGACAGACTACGCTTCATAAATTAAAAAAGTGAAATGTTTCTGTTAAAACTCTGTTAAATGCAACTTCCTTTATTTTTATGTTACAGAAAGTGGTATGACTCAAACATAGAATTACGCAGTGTCACAAACATCAATTCAACCAATACCTCATCTTCTATGCATACCAGACGCAGAATGATAATTCGTGATAAACTTTTTATGCAACATATAACAGACATGATATCGATGGGACAAGAATCTGACATTATAAAAGAAAGTATAGAGATTACTCATGTCAAAATAACGCAAGATTTTAAACGCATCAATGTGTTTTATATACCTAGTAATAATAATAATGCCCCAGTTGATCAAGAAGCATTGCAGAAGTACGCCAGAATTATTCGGCATGAGCTATCGCAGCTCCGTATCATAGGTGTAGTGCCGCCTATCTATTTTGTTGAAAATAAGCTCTATTGTAGAGAGAAGGAGGTCGAAAAGAGATTGGCGATGATAACTTTCGAGGAAGATAGTGAAATCTTGTCCAAACAAATGGAATCGGATATGCCTGATGTTAGTGGTGTTGATCAGATTTTGCACAAAAAATCAGTTGTAAATGATAATTCTAAGAGGGATGAATTTTATATCCAATTGCCAACAATGAAACACGATGTATTAGGACTAGATCATCACAAAATCATGTCTCGGGTAATCTATCTTATGTTTGTATTAATAAAAGATAAATGCATGAAATATTATATTTTAATTAATTATTACAGATTACTAGTGTAGTGTCCAAGGCGAAGAAAGCTGCGCAAATACGAATGTTGGATATAAATACTAGTACAGAGAAAAGCGATCCAGTTTCAAACGAAGTCGAGTTCTTAACTCAAGAAGAGCAACGAAAGATCTTCTCTGATTTTCTAATTAAAAAACAAAGGGAAGCACGACGCATGAAACAGTCGAAAGGCCGGAAACTGTTTAATTTTGAAGAAGAGATAAATAACGAAGAATCTAATTACGAGAATGATGTTGATGTCGACGAATACATTGACGACATTGATGTTAACGAATACAACGATAACAATAATTTCCAGGATGACACGCGAAAATGATTTCAAAATAATGTTTCAGAATAATTTTTATTCAATATAAATATAATACTAACGCTTGATTTTCTGTACATGTGTGTACAATAAATAATTTATTATTAATAAATCGTATTGTACAATATACATAAAATCTTGCTACAGCTGTGAAATAATATTAATAACAATAACAAGAATGCTCTCTCTTCACTAGACACTACTATGGCCTGTGTTAGTAAAGCTAAGACTGTACATAATGTACAAACTTTCATTATATAGTTACACCCCATACTTTTGATCCCTTTTGACTGGTGTAAATTTCTTATAGCACGCTATATAATAACTTAATTAATTGCATATCTAATCGACAAATAAAAATAATATAAATCTTACTTACGGCAAAATCATACTATTCCTCTAATATTTTTCGCGCATTTGCAGTAATACATCGTCATAATTTCCAAAATTGAAAATAAAGTATTACATTAATGATTTCGTGATATCTTTTAGTATCTACAGTCAATTAACAATTACAGTCCATTAACACGTGACCAATGTCTGTCAATTTACACGCTCTTTTACGTTATTACATTTATAAATTACGTAAAGTTCATTTGTCACGACACAAATATACATATATCCAATATATCTCACAGCATTCTTCATCAAATGTACTTACTATATACTTCTGTATCAATTAACAAAACTGGAACATCCTTTTTAATGAGAACATTTCCCACTAGATTTTGATTAAATCTTTGATTCTGTATTCAGGTTTTTTTCCTCTGATATTTGTTCATCAAGTGCTTCTTTAGGTAAATTTAAGTCTATCTCTTGATCACTTATAGGTTTATAGAAATGTACATTTGATGTTAATTGAGGTATCGAGTCAGTTAAGACACATGCTTCCAATACATATTTGTTGAAGGTTTCACTTTTGTCTGCATAGACATGATGACCAGCTCCAGTAATTACCTATAATAATAATTTATTTTGTATAAACAGTTGTAAGAGTGTTGATTTATTTTATAGAGCACTTGCTGATTTAATTATTTTCTTACCTGTACATTAACATATGAGGAAGACCGATACTGTTTAATTGTTTCACCAGCTGAATTGTCAACCCATGATCTACTGCCATAAAGTAATGTTATAGGTATATTATCGTTTAACTTATCCATTCGTTTAACAATTGGATTTTTTGCCCATCCGAAACCATGCATCATTGCATGAAACGCGCTTTCGCCTCTGTAAACCGAATATAATTATGTAGCATATTTAATATTTTTTAATTGCATTAAAATGTTTAATTTGCAACTTACGAAGGTGTCTGCGCATTGCATTGATGTATATATTGCGAAATTATAGCAGTGTCATCCTTCAGGACGGGAGTAAACTTCTTTACAATATCAGGTCTTGTCTTTTCAATGAGCCATTGTCCTGTAATAAATATTTTTGCTCAACGATGTGAAAAGAAAATAATTGCATTACTGCGTATTACTGCGTTTATGATAATACTGACCAAATGGTCCAGCAACTCTAACTGCCCACAGAGGATTTAAAGGCTGTACAGCAAATGCTATGGCTTTAACCCAGAATGGTATGTGTGTCTTGGCAACAGTATCGGAGGGCTTCTCAGGAAAGCCCCATGGATCTGCCAATATGAGATGTTTCACTCTTTCAGGATATTGCATAGCGTAAGATGCTGCAAGAAAGCCACCCATGGAGTGACCTAACAATACAAAGTTCTCTAGTTGCATTTCTCTTCTCCATTCTTCCACAGAATGTACTAACTGCTCCTCAGCTTTTTGCGCTTCATTACTAAAAACAGGTCTGCTACTTCTGCCAAATCCTAGAAGTCAAATATAGTCGTGTTACAGACGTACAAATCTGAGACACAATTGAAAAGTACAATAGAAAATAAGAAATAGCAAGTATATATGGTTTCTGATAAATTGAAATCTGTTATTCCCTGTTCCTATTAACTGTGCTTTTCAGTTGTGTTTGAAGCTACAGTCGCATAGAAATCATTTTTGAAGATACTCTTAAATATTTAAATATTTTACATCTTGTTATAAAAACCTAATAGATTCATATATTAAATAACAGGTTTATGTGCAACTACAAAGTTCAGATCTGATTAGTCATGTAGATGAGTCATGTATTTGTCAAGAATAATGAATGATAAAATAATGATAAAAGCAGAGAGAATTTAGCAGAGAGAATTAAATAAAATAATAGCAAAAAGAGAAAGAATATAATATAATGATTAAGATCTTTGTGTTTTTGCCATTATTTTAGCGCATTATGTTATTAATAAGTATATAAATCAGATAAAATCGCAGATAATTAAGCGATAGAGAACTCTATTCTTTTTATTTCTTACCTAATATATCTATGGCATACACTGGTCTTTGAGATGCAAGTGCATCCAAATTCAAGCACCATAATGCTACCCCAGCTCCTAAACCGTGTAGTAAAACAATTGGGACCTTTGGCGATTCTTCATTCAACGAAATGGTCCATATTTTATCCGCCGGTCCTACAACTGGTCCAATATCAACGAACCATCCTCGATATGCCGTTTTCAAACCTAATATTTTGATAAAATGCATAAATGTAAATTTCGATCTCGACCTAAAATTTAATTAGTAATATTTGTCTTTTATTATTTACTCACATGACAGAATTTTCTTCTCAGCAGCACGTAACATAGTCGAAGACGATCCAGACCAACTAAACCATCCCCAAATCCAGCTACTGCAGCATTTCATAAAATAAAATTATCTTTCTTAGCATTGTGGATTGAGAAAGAGAGAAAAATTCCTTTCAAATTATCCAACTATATATGTATCAACAAAATTAAGATGCAATTATATAACTATGTATCGATAAAATTGAGATGCAAATTATCTGTTTATTACGTATCAACAAAATTAAGATGAATCGGTGTTATTTGAAATTAGTATCAAGTCATGCTTCTGCATCATCGAGACAAGTATGCACATCGTGGATGGAGTATTAATAGTCATTATATCACAGACTAATTATTACGCTCTTGCTCGCGCATTCGCCATGTGCACCGGAAAAGATCTAACCAAGAGACGGCCTTGAAATACCTGACAAAGCTAAACTTTTAAAACTGTCGCAATCGTTGACACGATTCGATTATCTCACGCTTTGTTGATATAGCCCGTTCTTTCTTTGCGCGACGATTTGTTGTTATTCGCGTCTTGCGCCAAATGACGTAATGTTGATACAATCATAATTCACGATCGCGACGTAATCGACGAATTGTGACGGAGTCTTCCGATACCGCGCAAAATTGGCGCAAATGGTCGAATCCTCTTTCGCTCACCTTTTTGCTTGGATGACTTCATGATCTGCCATGGATGCGATAACGATGACGGCTCCTTCTTGCCCGATCTGCCGTCGCGATCGGGGCTCCTTTGTTGTCGATAAATGCGGAAAAACACGCGTGTGCTGTAACGCGCGCGATACTATTATCTAGCAGAAGTGTCCCAATCTGAATGGACGGATCAAGCCATCGAGCGAATACGCGGCCTCGTGGACCAAGCGCGGTGCGGTGAGTGACAGCAACCGCAGAGTAGGGAGGAATCAGCTGATATCAAATGCACGCGCGCGCGCGCGCGCGCGCGCGTGCAAGCCGATTTCTGGAGCGTGTCCACGTGAATTTCTTCTATCTCTTGTTCTCGAAATCCTATCAAGGTCACCTGATCGCCGATAGTCAGAAAACAGATTGAACTGAGTTGATTATTTCGCCTGATATTTAATGCGAGAAATCGAACTTTGTTTTTTCTTTAAAACGAATCAAATACTGGATATTTTAAAAAATCGTCTTCGATTTTAATGCGCTCTTTTTATATAGCAGGACTTTGTTGGAACTTATAAAAGATAGAAATGGAAATGGAAAGTTACCAATCAGTGATTTAGATTAGGCAATATGCTTACAATTTTCCAACGGAGTAATACAACAAATTGGCATCATCTGTATCTGCATTAAATTCTCAGCAAACGAGAACGGATTGAAATTTTTTTCTATCCAAATGCGTATTTTAAATAGCGAATATTTTTTGGGGATTTAATTGGATTCAATTGGATTCAATTAGATTCAATTGGATGCAATTGAATTGAAAAACTGCATTTCCTATTCAAAATTTTGAATTGAATAATATTCACATTGTGTTTGTGTGCACAGAAAAAGCTAATATTATTTTTAGATTGAAAAGCATAGAGATATGCTCCATGCAATTCTTAGAATTGAAAAGTATTCATTTTAATATTCGTGAATCAATATTTCCGAAAATCTGAATACATTTCAATTCATTTCAATCCATTGTTGTTTGCTGGGCTGTGTTTCACTAGTTATAATTTAACAACAGAGAACTCAAATAGAATTTATCATCCATAACTATTTAAATGATATATTCCACATTATATATATATATGTATAT